GAGCCCGTCCACGTTGGACCCGCTATCATCGACGAATACGAGCCCATCCACGTCGGACCCGCCATCGTTGATGAGCAGGAGGTCGCCCCCGTTATCCCCGCTCCCTCTGCTAACCCCCCACTTGTTCAAATCGTCTTGAACATCAACTCCCCAGTCAACGTGCCCGGCTCCCCTGTCGTCGTTGAGACCATCCCTCAGCCCACCCCCGTGCAAGTTGTCGAGGAGGCTGAGGTCGTCGATCCCGTCATCGTTGTTGACAAGCCCGTCATCACCGAGCCAGTCATCGTTGCCCCCATCGTCCCCTCTCCCGTTGTTGTTCTTCCCGACATCCTTAACTAAGCATAGACAAAACTGTGTCATTACATAATAATACACTTACAGTATGTAAAATACCACAATTTGTCACACTGTTTTGATACTTAATGCAATAAAGATATTATTATTATAAACCGTTCATTTATTTTAAAAAGTGTTACCATTATTTCTATCTAAGTTTTTCAAGATGTGGCTTGACATTCTCCTTGTTTAGTTAGTGAGATTTAAAGAAATGAATGTGACGTCGAGAACCAGAGAAGATTCCAATGAATGAAATGAACACACGTCATTTTCTTCTATTTAAAAAGTATCTGAACTAGTTTCTAAACTAAATTGCAATTTGCAGAGATTTGAAGCTTTGCACAACAACCACGAATAGAACAAAGATTGAACACTAATTTTCGCTCGGAAATCAGCTATTTACAGGATATTGATGAGCAAATGCAAAGAATTAAAGAGACAATGCAGCTTCAAGATATTGTACTCACGAATAATTAGTCGAAAGAATGAAAAAAACTAAAAAATAACGTAACTCAAATGTCTTATTCATTAAGTCACAAGACAGTTAAGTAAAAAACAGTTTTTTTATTTAATTACAAAGTATTACTTGAAATACAAAGTGATAATATTCTCAGTTCCATTACGTGGTAATTTACACTCTCCATCAGGTGGTCAGTTTACCTATCTGTTTCCAGTTTTTTTAATGTTTTTAATTTTATTTACCTATTTTAAAAAAGTATCCTGCAGAAATAGAAGGACAAAGTATTAGCGGAGGGGTTTTAGAGCGTGCGAACACCTGAAACTAAATTATCGCACAACTGTTTTGTCTCGATTTGATTCCTCGGAGAATATGTCCTCCACATATGCTCCGATGCGCGCACTACTTGATTTTTAGTTGTGGAACTAAACAGTTGAATTGGCTGCAAAACAATCGACAACCGCACAGCAGTTGTGCGATAGTTTAGTGGAAGGTATACGCCGTCTCTTACTGATACGAGTTTTTTCTTTATGGTTCGGAGTTAGCACTTTTTTGGATTTGGCTCAAGACGCGATATATTGTCGTACAATCTTCATCTGCAGTGATTTAAGAATTTTATAAGTACACTTTTCAAGAATTCTGTTTTTGGCAATAACTACATGGTTTTTACAATGTTCCTCTAACTTGGTTAAAATGTTTCCCATAAAACTACCAATTGTACGGGGCAGTCCAATGCACAATGCTTTTAGAAAATAATTAGCTACAGATATAACAATATAATTAATAACTCACAATATGCTTGTCGGAATGACGAGCGGTTTGTTAAATTCAATTCCGAAGGTAGATTATGTACATGGTAAAAATCATCCATTGTGGGCGTGCGTAAGTCGGATATCGAAATTGGCGAAACATTACAAACACTATCCTTAGTTGACTACCATCTTAATTGATAACTTCACAACACACTCTAATCGAATTGCAAACATTTACAGAGATTAACCAATTGATTTTATAATAACAAGTCGCATCATTCCACCATTCAAAGACAACTGTCATCAATCATTCTATCGCCGTCTTGACTATCTATCATGCACGATCTATCATGCATTATGCACATTCAGCCAGTACTCAAAATTATTAGTTGCCAGTATCTTTAATCGTTCAAAAGTTAACAATCTTTTCGCTCAGTTAAGATCATTTAAAACAACACCTACTTTCGCTTGAGTCTTTTAATGGTTACTTCAGTGTGAATCATTCACACTAAATCTACACCAAATAAAAGTTTCTATGAGCAACAAATCAACATAGATATATTTGATTGAACACCCATAATAAGCCAACAAGAACCAATAAAAATAAAACACGCCACATCGACATAAGATCTCTCCTTGAGCTTAGGATCGACTGACTCGCGAGCAACTACTGTTCACGCGAAACCCTTTTCCACGTCAGTCCTCCAGGGCCTCGCTGGAGTATTTGCTACTACCACCAAGATCTGCACCGACGGAGACTCCAGGCGGGCTCTCGCCGAGACCCTTCTGCGCTCTCCGCCGCGCACGTCCTACTCAAGCCAACAAGATCCAGCCAGAACTTAATGGAACCAGATATTATTGGATTTCAATATAAAACAGTGGTTAATCTGATTACACAAAATCATTATTCACTACCTAATTTTACTTTATTTAAGTTTTCAAAGGTTCGCAAACATTAAGAACTTTTCTAATATTTCGAATAAGATAAGACAAACATTTCAATAAGGAAGTAAATTCTATCTTAAATTTAAGTTCCCGTCTATAAGATTAAAGTCTAACAAATGTTATAAATTTATTGTTTAATGATCTTTAGAAATTTATTGTATACTAAAATTAGATAAATAGTTGATTAGACAGTAGGCTG